AAGGACACAGGCATAGGCACCAACAAAGGATCTGTGGGACTCTCGAGTGAGTCCCCCCCCTTCCTTTGGTCAGTTTGGGACTGTGATGAGGTAATGCTCACCTGACTCTGAAGTGGGGGGGCAAAGCCAAGAGGGAAGAAAGAACATGATAAAAGGGAGAGACGTTTGCCATGCTCTTCCTCTCTCTTCCACCTATATCTACAGACACCACACCAAGCGACTGAAGCGCTGATCAAAGGAGAGAGCCTGGCTGAAGAGCAACCAGCCAGCCTGTGGTGAGAAGCATCTATGTTTGTAAGGGCACTGAAAGTGTTAAAATCAGCTTAGAATGCGTTTTGCTTTTATTTCATTTGACCAAATCTGATTTGTTGTGCTTTGACTTATAATCACGTAACATTTATCTTTGTAGTTAATAAATCTGTTTGTTTATTCTACCTGAAGCGGTGTGTTTGGTCTGAAGCCTGTCAGAGACTCTCCTTGGGATAACAAGCCTGGTACATATCACTTTGTTAAACTGACATATAAGCTTGCAGCATCCAGCGCGCATAACTGGACACTGCAAGACGGAGGTTCCTAGGGTTGTGTCTGGGACCAGAGATATTGGCTAGTGTCCAGGAGTGGGGGTTGTCACAGCAAAGCAGGGTAAGGTTGGCTCCCAGAGTCAAGGATTGGCGTGAGCTAGCAAATCATTTCCCTGGATAACACCAGGGAAACATCACGAGTGGTAGGCAGAATAGCCTATCTCATCATTATTTTGTCCACCAATTAGACCTAGATTTTGATACATCAATTTTGGTTTACTGATTTTACTTTTTTTTTTTTAACACCATCCTTGAGTTACATCAGTAACCTTTCAGTTTAGAATAATTCCGTTTTTCTGTCTCCCTTTCATACCTTTTCCCATTAACATTTGTTCTTGATAGGTTACTGTGACATTTTAGGAACTTTCACATACTTTTTACAATTGAGTTCTTCATGATGTACATTTGTAGGGCCAATTATTACAACACCACATTGGTCGTTTTGCCTTCCCCATGCTGCTGCCCTTACCTCTGGACCTCCCTCCCATAGCTAGTGTACCAAAAAAACCAAAATCAGATCATTCCAATCCCTCTTTAATACTTATTATTATTGATTATATGTATTACAGTGACACCCGGAAGCCACAGTTAGGACCCTATTGTGCCAGGCACTGTACAAACATACAACAAAAGACAGTTCCTGCCCCAAAACCCTCTCTACAGTAAGCCTTCCAAAATATAGAGAAGGAGTATTTTTCATGCTATTGCCTGTTTTTAAAGCACGCATTGGCCCCTTAAGTTATTGGATCCATGTGTGTTTAGTGTTAGAACTGTATTATCTAGGTCTGAATTGTCTGTAAACTCCTCAGGGCAAGGGGTGCTTCCTTCACATTTGTACTGGGCCAAATGCAGACTGTGCTTGGTATAACCTCTGTGAATAAAATTATTAAAATCTACAAAGCTGTGTTCCTAACAACGCACAGCACCATATGTACAAACAAAATGGGAAAACACCACTGAAATTATTCAATGTGTCAGGATAGAAGAACGAGAGGGAGGGATCTTGAGAGGTACTTTCCCCTAAAGAGCAAGAAAAATCTCAAGTGTAAAGGAGATCTGGGGAGTAGCCAGGCAGAAACAGAGAATCCAATATATTCGTTCACTGAAACAACCAGCTTTGGGACTTCTATTCACCCCATCCCCCACCCTTACTATTCCTTGCTCCATGGGCCAACATTCCATACCAACTCTTCCTGCAAGGGCTATGATGCAAACAAAAACTGATCACGCATATGCTCTGGCCAGCAAAGATCATTGCTGGAAAGACACCTCCCCTAATCCCTTAGAATATGCTGCTCTACTGTGAAGCTGATTGGAAAGGAGCAGGTGAATGGCCCTAAACCTTCAATGAGAATGTTTACAAATTCAGAGATGTGGGCTGCAAAGGTATCATGTAGATTAGTGTTTTGGATATTGTGCTATTAAACCATGCAATGTGTTCCTTCTACCCAGCCCCTCTTTGGTTTTGTACCACTTCATCCCAAAGCTGCAGTCCCACCTATTCTATACCTCTGACAGTGCTGTGGCAGAACAGCAGTGCATTCTGGGAAGAGACATAACCCCCCAAAAGCTCTGTTTGTAACAAGACTTTAAAAAGGAGACAAAAGAGAAGAGGAGCACAATCCACACTGACATGCTGGTTCTGGCTCCAGCTGGATGAGAAAAATTCACATGCTCTATATGAACTGGCACAGGTATAGTGTTTCTCTGGTAGTGCAGTATTCATGACACAGAGCTTTGAAAGTCAAGATGGGGCAGATAGAACCAGGGAACACTGAGGCAGAGGGATCCCAGAAAAGTAAAGATCAGCACTGCCTTCCCCCATTAGCTGTATTAGTTAAAATAAAGGGGGTGCTCTTACCAAAGAGGGTTCCTATGAAATGAACACACACCCTTTCGTCCTGTGCCAGCAGCTGAATGACTGGCACGGCATGCCAGGCCAGGACATCACGGAAGCAAGACAGCACATGCTTCTTGCGCACCAGCTGAAAGTTAAAGATGGAATGAAAAGTATCACTGGTGATCTCCTTCATGACATGCAAAGGGGGGTGAAGAAGACACTAGGCCAAGGGGACAACAGCCCGAGCGATCCGAGCTGGAACCCAGAAACGCAGCATGGCAGGGCACTAGGCCTATTCCCACACCAGAGACCAGGACTCAAGACACAGAGACCATCCCATATTAAAGTCACCTGGGAGGAATGGGCCGGCAGGGGGCGGGGCCGGGCCACCAAGGCCCCGGGGCGATACTGGCTGGGGGCGGGACTGGACCGGCTGGGGGCGAGGTGGGGGAGCCGAGCCGGGCCTGGCAGGGGGCGGGGCTGGACCGGCTGGGGGGACCCGTGTGGGGACGCGCAGGGGGCGGATGTGGAACCTGAGACCCCGCTCCGCCCCCAGCGGGCGGTCCCGACAGGCGGGGCCGGGGCGCGCTGGCGCGGGGAGGGCCCAGCCGGGCTCCGTACCGAGGCGCTGCTGTCCCCCAGCGTCTCGATGACGCAGGCCAGGCAGAGCGGCGGGGGCAGCAGCAGGAGCCAGCGCGGATCGTGACGCGCGTGGAGCCGCTCGCAGACCAGCAGCCCCGCTTCCGCAGCCGCTTCCATCGCGCGCCGCCCGGGCCTCGCAGCGAGTAGGCGTCACGTGGTTAGGAGTAAGAAAAGCACAGAATTGGCGGGGAAAGTCCTGCGCATGCGTAACTGGAGGGGCGGGGTTTATTTTTGGCTCATAGGGAGAAGCCGAGTGCGTACCGAGCACGTGCATCCCGGAGGTGAGGGCGGGGCCCAGGGGAGGGAGGCAGTTGATTCCTTTCTGGCGCTCTCTATTCTTAAAGGGCCACACACATCACCCTCCGCACCTTTCTTCCCATCCCCAGTCTGAGCCCGCTCCCTAGGGGAGCCACTGCCGGCCGGACTGAGGCACTCGGGGCAGCAGGACATCACCCCATGCAATGCGCCTGGTGCCTGCCTGGCGTCATGGGCAGCTGGGGGGGGAGGCAAGAGGGGAGAAGGGATCTGCTGGGGAACCTAGAAGGGGAAAAGAAGAGAGTTCCTGGAGCAACGCCGCATGGGGGAGGGGAGGGCAGCCTTAGAGCAGAACCCCCGCCCTCGTGAGGGAGGGAAAGCTGATATGGGTCCAGGGGGGTAACAAGGGGGAAATGAGAACCTTGGGCAGGGATCCAGGTGGAAAGATCAGAAACAGTGAGGGAGAGATGGGGGGGGGCAGAGAAGATGGGAGAGCAGGGAAATGGGTGGGGAAAGACACAGGGGATTCCAAATAACAAATGGGGAAGGGGAAATAATGTGCAGAAAGGAAAGAGAAAACTGAGGGATGACAAATAAGCGAGACCGAAGGAGAAAACCCAGAACCTTACATTTCATTGGTTGCAACCTATGTTTTGGGGTGACATAAAAGCCAAGCCAGCCTTTTCCTTCTTGTACTTAGAATGTGGAGGAATAATCAGTCCTTGACCGAGGATACCACTGCACTTAAAACAAGCCCTATAGTTGATGGTTTTTTGGTGATCTATGTGAAATCATTTTTGGCTCACTCCTGTTCCTACTGAGGTCTGCAACACAAAAGCCACAATTACAACTGGTACTAATGTTCTTCCCAATACCAGCCCCTTGTTGGCAGCCTCAGAGAAGTCAAAGACTGAATTAGCTATGGGGACTCAGGGTATGTCTACACTATGAAATTAGGTCAAATTTATAGAAGCCGGTTGTATAGAAATCGTTTTTATACAGTCGATTGTGTGTGTCCCCACATAAAATGCTCTAAGTGCATTAAGTCAGCGGACCGCGTCCACAG